TCTCAACCTAGTTGGTAAGGGAGTCCCGGGTCTATCACCGTACGGATAAAAGCAACTTGGTATTAAGATAGTGAATTGAAAGAAAGAAGTCACAGTTGCTTTTGATCACCAACGAAAGCCGAAAGTGAACAAGTAACTGCATACTACTTAAGTAGCCATTGTAGTGATGTCACCCACCCTAGCTTTTGGTTTTCCCAACGGCTGACATGGCTTTCAACTAGCCAGTCGCATGTTCGAAAATCAATTCTCCATAGTGCCTGGCCGCTGGAACTTCGATTATCATTAATAGAACTGTATATATTTGAAATATTGGTGTTCGACCTGGAGGTCTTTATTTTTTATATTTTAATGACCCTCTCTCCAACAAAATAGTTACCTGATTGGACGGGATGCCGGCTTGTACCAGAGGGTCATCTAACTAGGTCTCGACGTTATCTCTATATTAATTTTCCATTAACATATTTCCAGTCCTTGTGGAATCTGAGTCAATAGCATGTCAATCCATGGAAAATCTCCTTCTTCTTTTAGGTCCTTCCCGTGGTGATCTTCTTCTCATCATTCATATCTATCATGTTTCATCTGGGCATCATTTCTCTTCTGATAGACAAGCCGTCTGTTTATGCCCAAAAACTTATGGGAACAACAGGTCCAGAAACTCTCAATGCCATCGCTAATATTTTCGTCTCCATGGTGAGTTTGGACAAAGAACCTTAAAAGGTGTTTACGGCTTGCGCTTCCGAATAACACATTCTGCTGCAAAGTATCTTTACAATGTCCCTCACATTTGTAGGAATAGACTATGAAGCATGATTACATTCACGCAGTTATTTTGATGAGGTTTGGTTTTATGTTCAGCATACTATAAATTCTCATCCTTTCAGACGGAATCCCCACTGATTACACGACCGTACATGCATATGATGACCAATTCCGAACTGCACGCCATTATCGTCAACGGTTTTGCCTCTGTTGCGGGCTCCGTGCTTGCCGCATACATTGGTTTCGGAGTAAGTCCTCCTCGTACCATCCCATCCCAAAAATGCCTTACCATTTACTATAATCCTCAGAAGTTCGTTTTCTACTGCGTATAATGTCACCTGCGTGAGGAGTAAAATATTGCATTTTTCCAAATCACTTGACTGCTAAAAGAGAGCCAAAGACAATTTTCTATTGGTTTGCAAGGCCTGGTTTTCTTACGAACATTGCACTTGGAGTGGCAACCTAGTTTCTTGATCCTATATATATGAGTACAGATAAGAATTTTGAATCCAATGTTCCAGACAGTAAAGTCTGCCTTCTTTCTTCTGTGTCAAGGTACCTGCCAACCACTTGCTTATCGCCTGTGTTATGTCAGCACCCGCCGCGTTGGCTGTTTCTAAAATTATTTATCCAGAAACCAGACATGCGCCGCTGGCTTCGTTGAGTAGAATGGAGTCCATTAAAAGGTGAGACTTTTAGACATAAAAATAATGCTTGATGCTGAAAATAGTTACTTTATTTATGCTTAATCGACCGAACTGCCTTGTGCAGGAAGTATGTTATGTTTTTATAAACTTCTTCATAGGGATGTGGGGCGCAATTCGTTATATAAATATTAAAAAAGGGACACTGATAGATGATTAACGCCTGACATTTGCTTTACCTCCCATCAAATAAGCCCCTACTCCAATGCTCTGGAAGCTGCTATGGTCGGCGCTATGGAATCAGTACCTATCGTCGCTGGTATTGCATCGAATTTGATAGCCTTTCTAAGTATCTACAACTTCTTCAATAACGTCCTCACCTGGTTGGGATATCGTGCTTGTATGGAAAAACCATTGACCTTCGAGGTAAACCTTTCTTATTATATTCAAAAAGCATTTTTGATCCTTAACGAAGACTGAAGCTAGCTGTAACGCCCATCTCACTCAAGTGACTCTTGCACCGCTATGCCTAAAATGCAGCCAAATAACGTTTGGTCACTTGTTGGGGTATTGACAACCGAGACCCCAACTTGGTGGTCTAGGCGCTTAAGAGTCCGTCTCTCATCTCGTGGTAATGGGAGGTGATCAATGTGATCGGGACTCCTCGCCGTTTATAGGCTTTTCAGTTACTTGTTGAAACTTCGAGCTCATAGAAATAATACCGAGTGGAGACATTTGACAACCAATGGGACGACCCATCTTTACATAATCAGCCTCTCCCCACTCCGGTATTATTTAAAAAGGCAGGACTTTCTTAAAAGGTCATTTTTGCGTTCCTATTATGACAATAACCTACTTTACATTTTGAATAAACCGAATTTCCTTTTTTTTCGTTACATTCCGCCAATATGTCAAATTTCCTTTTTTTCATTAAATCCTGGCAAGACAAGGTTGATTTTCCTCAACTGGCACAGAATACGTTAGGCAGTTGTGTGAGAGATAGACATTTAGGGGCCCTACAGGACAGTCTTGCCTTTAAATATTTCCACTTTGTTTAAAAAGAGCAATGAAACCTTCCTAACATGTTCCGGTCTCACTTTTTCTCCTCGTGCAGCTGTTGTTTTCGTACATCCTTTGGCCAATCGCCTTTACGATGGGTGTGCCAACAGAGGACTGTCTCAAAGTCGCCGAGTTGATTGGCGTGAAGTCAATGCTCAACGAATTCGTAGCCTTCACCAGATTAGGTAAGAGGTTATGGGTGTTTGCTTTGCCAAGTTATTTTGCGATAGTTCAGTACGTTTTCCTTTTAAAGCTGCTTAAAAATCCAAGTGGTTCAGGTTTCCGTCAAGCTAAGCCAAAACTATTGCTGTTGTTATTCTTTTCAATAAAACATTGATCACACCGATAGAGTACCGTAAACATACGCGAAGGAAACTGGGGTTTTCTGAAGAAAATATCTCGTCTTGCAGTATCGTGTCTCAATGACTTTGTGTCGTTTATATATTAGAAAATAATAGGTCGACACCATATAGTTAGGAAGCCATTTTGTCCGCACGACCCAGAAAGGAGGAAAAAGTACGCGCAGCGTTCCTCAGTTGTAGGCTAGACCTCGCTTAGCTAAAGTGAGAAGCAAATCTTATTGTCGGACTGTATTGCGATATTATTTTTGGAAACGGTAGTCAGACGCTTGGTCTGCGTCCAAGTTCATTCGCCCACAAACTGCTGGACCCATGTTTATAGCGGTATTGATTTTTCCATCATCGTCTAGCTGGTATATGGAGTTCATTTAATTGAGAAAATTCAAAACGTGGGGCCATGCCTCAAAGGTATGCTTTTTCCGCTCAGATGATAAAAATATTTAAAAAATGGCATGCCTATGTGAAATTCAGCACATGTTTGCTTTTAGATTTATGATAAAAATACAGTCATTTTCCGTACGAGGCCCACAGCTGCGATGCGCAGTGAACTGGACCTTCTTGCATTACGCTAGGTCGATATTCTATATCCAATATTTCTTTTTCGTACAAACTCAAGAGTACCCTTTAGTTTTTACTATCAAAAGACCAGCTTCCAGGGCAGAGCTCCATTAGATTCATCTGCCAAGTGGAAATTTGCGAGAAAAAATACGATTGTAAGGGGCCATATTTCATTAACTATGTCTGACTTTAGCTCATGTTGTCGTCATCCCTATCATTTTCGCTTTTTTATAAATGTACCAACCGCCTCTAGACCTCAGTGAGAATTCACGTTACGATAAAATTCAGTTGTTCATTCAAAAAAGGTCCTTTGGCTTCTTTAAGTATGACTTTCAGCACTCCTGCTTGTCAGCGCTTCAATGGCTGATCCGTAGGATTTTAACTTTGTTTTAGGGATAATTATCAAAGACAGTGCCATTTATAATGAGTGGAATGGCAACAGTACCGTACAGTATTTGGTGAATGGTTCAGTTCGTCTTACCTTTCCAAACGGAACATATCATATCATGGAATACGGCCATTTGTATGTGAGTTCCATCAGCTTATATTTTTTTTCGGGAGACCTTGCAAAAACTTGATCAAACTTTGCTCGAATCCACTTCAGTTATTTTTTGCTGTACTGATGGACATAAACATCAAGTTTATTTTGTTCAGACCAATCGAGCTGAAGTTATTTGCACGTATGCGCTTTGTGGCTTTGCGAACATTGGATCGATCGGCATTATGTTGGGGGCCATGGTAACCATGCTGCCGCATCGTCGTAAGGAGTTGTCAGAAATGATTCTGGGTGGAATGATCGGCGGAACTATTGCCTGTTTCCTCACTGGTTGCTTTGCTGGTAAGTTTAAAGACGTTGTATACCAATCTTTTCAACTCTCAATGAGTTAGTATGTTTCGTTTTAAAACGCAGTAAAGTACCTGTTTTGAGCGTTGGTGTTTAAAAACTGTTCAACTTTTAGGTCTCTTATACGAAGGAAACTAGTCGAGCTATATCGCCCTCGCCTGCACGGGACACTTGGGCACCCAACTGTTCATTAATTCTTCTACAAACCATTTTTCATATCTTTTTAAGAGCAGAATTACCATTATTTTTACTTTTTTTAGGCGTGTGTATGCCAAATACAATCTCTATAAAATTAATAAAATCTTTTTGAAATCTATCCCTATTATATGTTTATGCACACTTTTGTTGACAAGTGTAATGACAAAAAATAGAATTTGCTTTTCATCGCTTGACTTAATTAATCTGGGGGAGAACAGACATCCTCACTGGATTTTACACCACGAAAATCCCGGTCCCGTCAGTCTTAGAAGAAAATATACAGCGAATAGAAAGGCAATCCTATGAAGAATAAAACGTTGTCAGCAACACTTAACTGGAGATGATTTTGGAGAGTCCTTGTCTACTGTAAGCCTTTAATTTAAGCGGTCTTCGTCTACTTGTCGGACCATTCTTGTTGCCAATAATTTGGAATGGAATACCCGATTATTTGGTAACAGCACTTTGTGTCTAAGTCAATAAGCCGATATTCTGTTCGAATTATTTATTTTCATCGGAATGATTACCTATCCAGTCATGCCCGTGCCCAGGTGTTATTACCGCATTGGCCTTTGGTTAAGAAGATGAACTTGCTTTCGATGGGCTTTGTGAACAGCATTCAAGATTCTCGCAGATGTTGAACTGAGACAAATAACCAGACGTACGTTCCAGTGCATGCCCACCACGTCCTACCTGTCTGACGCTCTGTATAAATACGAGGGATTTTGTATCCGATCTTATGTAGCATTTTGGTATTTGAATGAGTGAAAAAAGCTCGAAATAGTCTGGAGTTCTCGACGTCCCCACCTCGCTTCTAGTTAACCGTATGCCTCAGTGTTCTACGCCGGTTGATGTAAATTTTAAAAATTCTGTTTCAGCGGGTGTCGTTAACGTACGGAACATTTTGAACCTGAGGTATTTTGGGATAAGTTTAGAAAAAAAAAGCAGAACTCCTTTTTCTCATTAAAACTCCTGGACAAGCAAGTAACTAGCAGCTAGCAATCAATAATCTATAAGTGTTCTCGACCAAGTTTACGAATACTGGGATTCTATTATCCGGATCGCATACTTTGATGCTTAAAACTAAATCATTCTCGTGTTAACAATATCCGCAAACCAGTTTCATTAAGTAAAATTGTTATGCAAACTGCTCAGCTTGCAGGCCCTTCGATGAATGTTTGAAAAATAATTTTGTGCTATCACGGAGATAGAACAAGATAAATAAACAAAAGTATTTACCGGCTGTGAAAAAAGTTACTGCCATCTCAGTACTAGCATTTAACTTCATAAGCTTGTTTATCATCATAATGTATAGCAATATAAAAAAACATGCCGGGCAACCATCTTGTCTAGGTATCCTTTTTTAGGACATGGACGTTATTCCTCGCAGTCCGAATTCGTATTATTTTATTCGCAGTTTTTTAAGCCAACGGAGTAAAATCGCAGAGCTCTTTGCTCCGTGAAAATTGCCATTTACGGTAAGATTAGCTTGGAAACGACTGCTGTATGGGACGATTTTACGGCAACTGTTGTGATTAAGTATTTTAGGCACAAGGCAGAGCGGGACAATTGAGTTGCGTTAGCGGTCGGCGAACGTTCATCAACGAGTGTGAATATCTCCCGACCTAAACTGAAAAGACAACGAGCTCGTGGCTGAATGGTTAGAGCGCTTGACTCTGCTCGAAAAGATTGCGGGTTTGAGCCTCGAATGCTGCGCCATATGGGGTTGCGGATGACTGGCTGACGACAGCTTATACACCAGAAGGGGCCATTCCAATATTCATCGTTTTTGTTGGCAATATTAAATGTCTCACAGGTAAAACGCATCTTTTTCACCCTGCCCGCATGGCGAGATCAGCATATAGCGGTAGTTGGACTGTGGGAAGAGGGGGAAATGGGGAAGGCTGTGGGTATTGGGTTGAGTACGCGGAGTGAAAATCGCTGTCACCTGCGCGGAGTGAACAAGCTCTACCAGGGATTGGGGGCGACATGCGATCACCACCTGCCATCGGCATCGGTCACGGAAGAGATCGAGTGCCTGGATTGGCGTCTTCTGGCAACACAGCACTGGATTCTCTAGTGGCATAGGCACGGCCTCGGCTTTTGCTAGCAGCCGTTGGTTTGTGTGTGTGTGTGTGTGTGTGTGTGTGTGTGTGTGTGTGTGTGT